TAATATATTAATTACTTTAACTAAGTCAGAAGTCTTTCTACTCTTAATTATGAATTGATATTCCCATAAAGATATAAAGACAATTTTGATAAATATTTGTTATTTCAGCTCCAAAAATCTATTTATAAGAGCTATAACAGTACCTTGATATAATATATCTATTTAAACACTCTTTTTCCCATTTCAATTCATTAACTTATTATAAATTTTATTAATGAATTCTTTCAAAAGATCTTCAAAATATATTATCAATTATTATCAACTCTATTAAAGTTATTAAGGTTATTAAGATTATTTAAATTCCGATTATTGGCTTAATTACTTAAATTTATATGAAATGCTTAGCTTTAAAAATGAAAGTTACCTATAAATAGTCAGAATTTATGAGTTAGAGACTTTTATTGCAGTTTCTTCTTAAAAAGCTTTTTTAATTTGCTTTTTGCTTCTTGACATTGTTCTTCGATTTGCTCAAATTGTTATTGGTAATAGTTATTTATTTCAAAAGTGCCATTGATTTAATTATTCATAAATATTTTAATAAAGAATTAGATATAAATTTATCACTCCTAAACTCAATTAGTTTAGGAGCTATTATAATTAAATTTATACTTTGTACAACTTCATAATTCCATCTCCAAAATTTAGCAGTCTTATTTCATAAAAATAAGGATTCTGGAATATTTAAAAAGCATTAAGTTTATCCTTGATAAAATACAACTGTAGCTTAAATAAACAATTCCAAAAAATTTGAAAATCTAGAATTGCTAATTTGTGTCCCAAAATTGTGATTTCTTCTACAAATTGATTTTCTTTTCCTTATGAAGAAAGAGTTCATTAATAATCATGTACCATGTAAATGTTTAAAATCTCTTCATAATTAGACATCACAAAAACTCTACAAATAACAGTTCATATTATTACTAAAAGAGACTGAAATTTATTAATAATACTTTTTTTTATCTACTACCAATTCAACTCAATCGATAAGAATGTCAATAGGAATTCAGCAAAATTTGATTCATAATTCATAAATAGAATTGATAGTTAATGAATATATCATCAATAATAGTTTTTTAGCATTAAATTCTACTGTAATTCTATTTAGAATTAAATTTCCATAAGTTGCTCATAATTTAGTGATTGGAAGCACATTAACAATAACTATAAAAAATAGTTTAAACTCAGGATTAGATGTTTGCTCTATCATTAATCGATAAAAGTAAGTGATATTTTTTTACTTATAATTCAAATTTCATTTTCAATTTTTGATAATAAAATAAATATAAAATTTATTGAATATATCATCAAATTCTTTTTTTGGTTTATTTCAATTCGTTATTCAAATTACAACGATTGATAACCTTAAAATATAAATATATTATCTTTAATTTCTCTTAAGTATTATATTTTTATTATTTATAAATGAGATGTGAGAAATTAAAAATAGTTTAATATTCAAAATTAAATATCAAATACAAAAAATTTAAATATTATTTTAATTCTCAGCCTTTATGATATGAATAAAATTAGCCTCTAAATTTCCACCTTGGTTATAAATTTGAAAATATTTGACTAACTAATTTGGAAATTTAATTGTGACAACTTCAATATAATAAGTTATTGAATCAAATATTATTATTTCTTTGTTAGAATCTGATGCATAAACTATAAAATCATAGGTTCTAACATCTCCATTCCTTAACATCAGTTTTCATGTATTTAATTCATAAACCTAGAGTAATTCTATAATTATTGACTTGCCTAATTTCATATACGTCCCTTGATAATTTGATTATGCTGAATTATTTTCATTTCAAAAGATAATCACCAAAAAAAGAATTTTATTTTCGACCAGTTAAGAGATGTAAATCTGAAGTTAAAAAATAACAATTTGATTTTTTCAAGGGGGGCATCTCAACTTGGTAACACCATCTTTTAAAAAACACCTTCAATCTTTACCTAAAGAATTTTCAAAGGAGGCTAAGACAATTTCAGGTAACCCTTTGAAAATTATTTAACCCTAATTTAAAAAAAATACTGTATATAAAAATTATTGGATATTATACATAATATAAGGAAGGTTAGATAAAGGGTGAACACCTTTTCACTGTGAGTTTCAACAAAAGTGTGCATCACAATATGAGAGAAAAAAACTGAGTTAAATTATTAATTATTGCCATTGAATTCTGCTTTTTATTATCTTGTTTTAACTTTCCATTATTATTATCAGCTTGACTTATCCTAGTTTCGCATGATCACTCTGACCCTCTATTTTAGCCTTCTAACATCCCTATTTACATATAAACAAAGTAGACTTATCACAACTACTTAAAGCTAATATCAGAGGCAGATAGATTAATAAATATTATGAAAAGTTTATGCAATTCTATCAGATGAAAAACAGATTGAATTCACCTAGTAATCGAGACCATTTTACTTGGCTTCTATTAACCTACTTTCGCATCCTAATAGATAGTTAGAGTGATCCCATCTATCAGAAGCTTCTATATTTATCTAAAAGACTTACATTTCCCAATTCTGGTGGCCATTTAAATCGGCTTTCTATTTTTCTGTTTTAACATCTTAAATTGATAGACTTATCTTAAAAATTAGAAGCTCATGTATTTCTATCAGAGGAGAAATATTAACCTATTCTTATGACCATATAACTTTGTTTTCCATTATGTAATTTCTTGGAAGGTCATTAGAGACAATCTCTAAACTTAAAATCCTCATAGCTGTCCTTTAATGATCTTCAAAGATATCAAGAACAATCCAATTGCTCAGTATGAGCTCTAAAATTAAAAACTCATACAATAGGTCTAATTTGATAAGCCTTACTATTCATATTAGAGAATATCTACTCTTGTTAACTTTAAACTCTTTTATTCATGATTTCACTTATCCAAGTGTTCAAAGCATGCATTTCACATATTTTAAGGAGTGACCAATATTTTGTTCAGACATATTCTAATCAGTTATGCAAATATTGAAATGATTTCTCAATATGGAATATTCTACCTATATAATCCTCAATTCAAAATATACTATGCCTAGACTATTAATTTTACAAAAATGAATTAGAAACTTTTATCGATTTTTGCAGTATTTAACTTAAAGTTAGAGTAGTAGTAATTCATTATTAAAAATAAAAAAGAAAATGCAAGGCTCTTTTTAAAAGAAGGAAGCTCTAGCCGAAATCTTTGATTAAGTAAGAGATGTAGATATAAAAATCTTTGGGGTCATATTAGAAATGTTTCGAAAGGAGAAAGTTGAAGACTGCATTGGATATCTTTCAGATAAAGGGAATCAGAGACAATTAGAAACATAAATTTTACAACAAGTAGAGAACTTCACCCAAGTTGATATCGAATAGATATTGTCTGTTGTTAGAAAAGATTTGAAAAAAACTAAAGATGTCCTAAAAGAATTAAAAGACCATGACTTCAATAAATTAGACTATTCCTCTGAATAAAATGAAGAATCTACATTAAGTCTAATTAATAGCATCAATGATAATATATAGATCATAGAATTTTTGGAATTGTTAGTTGACCTCACATCTTTAGATGACACTTTAATTCAATGTGGATCAAACTCATTACATTTATTAGTTTAGATGAAGGTGGACCTAAGAAACAAAAATTTGGAAAACATAAAGATCTAAAATACTTCTTTAGTAGGAGCTAATTTTAGTCGATGCAATTTAAGTGGATCCTAATTTAATATTGTTAATATAAGTGGAATAAATTTAAATGAAGTATTATTAATGAATTGTGAATGGAAGAATTTAATAATTCATGAATTAAATACATTAAATGGTCATAGTGATGGTGTCAGATCAGTCAGTTTCTCTCCTGATGGAAATATTTTAGCATCTGGTAGTTTTGATAAGTCTATCCGTCTTTGGGATGTCAAAACAGGATAATAAAAAGCCAAATTAGATGGTCATAGTGGAATTGTCTAGTCAGTCTGCTTCTCTCCTGATGGAAATACATTAGCCTCTAGTAATTGTGGTAACAATATTCAACTATGGAATGTTTCAACTAAAAAAAAAATAGTTAAATTAAATGGTCATTTTAAAGGAGTTTTTTCAGTCTATTTCTCTCCTGATGGAAATACATTGGCTTCTAGCAGTGAAGATTAGTCTATCTGCCTATGGGATGTCAAAACATTATTAAAAAAAAGAAAATTGGTTGGTCATACTAATTGGGTCGAATCAATTTGTTTCTCTCCTGATGGAAATACACTAGCCTCTGGTTGTAATGATAAGTCTATCCGTCTATGGGATGTTAAAACAGGATAATAAAAAGTTAGATTGGATGGTCATATTGATTGTATCCACTCAGTCTGTTTCTCTCCTGATGGAAAAACACTAGCATCTGGTAGTGTTGATTATATCCGTTTATGGAATGTCAAAACAGGATAATAAAAAGCCAAATTAGAGGGTCATGCTTGTCATGTCTACTCAGTTTGTTTCTCTCCTGATGGAAATACATTAGCTTCTGGTTGTAATGATAAGTCTATCCGTCTATGGAATGTCAAAACAGGATAATAAAAAGCCAAATTAGATGGTCATAGTGATTATGTTAAATCAGTCTGTTTCTCTCCTGATGGAAATACATTAGCTTCTGGTAGTAAGGATAAGTCTATCCGTCTATGGGATGGCAAAACAGGATAAAAAATTAAAATCTCTAATAAAAACCACAAAGATATTCTTGGATAATTTAAGATTCCACCCAAATTACATAGCAATATTTCCAAAAGTAATATTTATTTCCTTTCTAATTTTTAGTCTCCAATAACATCAATACACTCCTTAGATCCTAATTGGCAATATTCTAAGCATAAGGAGCTCTAGTTCTTAAAGGAGAATTTATCAATCATCAAGGCATTGATTTGAGACCTTTATTTAAATCCAAAGGTAGCTGTCTTTTGGAAAACCAATTAGACTGCAATTAAAAATGAAAATGATTAACTTGTTAATATCAAATATATCATCAATATTTTTTTACCATTATCTTTTTTATTTTTAAAGCTTAAGTTAACATTTTTGCTCAATATATATATTCATCATTACATTATATTCTAAGAAGATTATAATCTAAGGTCAAAATTGTAATGTTGTCCTATTATTAATTGTAAATTTGTAAATTATAAATTTTGAATACTTAATTTATTAGTGAGTAATTATTAAACATAAGTGTATTTTTCAAAAATTGTCTTTCTTTTTCTCTCAATTTTACATTCTTATTACGTTATTTTTAATTTATCATAAACAATCTTTAAAGAGAACAAATAAAAAATGATTATTCATATATATTAAATAATCTATTAATAT